GGAATCTGCCTTTTTTTAACAGCGAATTTTAAACACTGAATTTTTTTAACACCGAATTTTAAACTCTGAATTTTTTTAACAGCGAATTTTAAACACTGAATTTTTTTAATGGCAAATTTTAAACACTGATTTTTTTTAACAGAATTTTAAACACTGAACTTTTTTAACGGCGAATTTTAAACACAGAATATTTTTAACGGCGAATTTTAAACACTGAATTTTTTTTAACATAGAATTTTAAACACTGAATTTTTTTAACAGCGAATTTTAAACCCTGAATTTTTTTTAACACCGAATTTTAAACACTGAATTTTTTTTACATCGGATTTTAACGGCGAATTTTAAACACTGAATTTTTTTAACACCGAATTTTTAACACTGAATTTTTTTTAACACTGAATTTTAAACACTGAACTTTTTTAACGGTGAATTTTAAAGTGAATTTTTTTTAACACAGAATTTTAAACACAGAATTTTTTTAACGGCAAATTTTAAACACTGAATTTTTTTAATGGCAAATTTTAAACACTGAACTTTTTTAACAGTGAATTTTAAACTGAATTTTTTTTAACACAGAATTTTAAACACTAAATTTTTTTAACGGCAAATTTTAAACACTGAATTTTTTTAACAGCAAATTTTAAACACTGAATTTTTTTAATGGCAAATTTTAAACACTGAATTTTTTTAATGGCAAATTTTAAATACTGAATTTTTTTAATGGCAAATTTTAAACACTGAATTTTTTTAACACAGAATTTTAAACACTGCACATTTGCGGCTGAATTTTTGGCAGCTGAATGTTTTTGCAGCTTCATTTTTTTTCATGGTGAATTTTTACCAGATAAAAAATGACTGTAAGGAATTCAATGTCTAAAAAAATTCAGTGTTTAAAATTCAGTGTTAAAAAAATTCAGTGTTTAAAATTGGGTGTTAAAAAAATGGCAGATTCTAATTAGACTGTTTTTCTTCCATAAAAATGGTACATTTATCTTTTGAAAATCTCACATCCTGGCATGTATGCTTCACTCCAGATGCTGTTATTGCTAGAGATCTTTGCCTTCTGTCAACAAGGATCTAGGCCAAAAAAACATTTGAATCTAGTAAGAAGTTTGAATCCCACATCAATCAAAGACCAGGACCAGTTACTAGAGAATGTGCCGGAAGTACTGTGGTCGAGTAAACAGTTCTATACTGTTTCATTATTCCAGCTGCTGTCAAGTCATAAACAAACCCCCCTGTGATGAAGCACTAAAACACAAACTGCTCCATAATAAGCTTTCGACTTGAACAACTCAGCGGTAGCTTGATACGCTGCCAGTTTAGAAAACTGACACAAATTGATCGATAAAGTAAAGCTTCATCCAAAAGGTTCCAGCTTAGAGTTTCCCACACTGCAGAGCTGAAGCTTAGAATGATGGACTAAATACAGGATTAAATAACATGTTAACGCAGACAGTAAGCGAGGTGCCATCCAAGACTCCTATCATGCATAAGCAAAGGCGACAGGCCGACAGAGCGTGTTTAGAAGCAAGTTGGCAACAAACGGACTCTGGATGACGTTCTGGTGAATGTCAATACCGCAGCTTCCTCTTGTTTCATACTCTCTAGCAGCCTCCAACATCAACACCAATGCCCCTGATGGTTTTCACATGAAAGTAAACACCACACCACTGCCCAATATGTCAGGCAGCTGTTCTCCGATTTGCTTTTTCTTTTAGAGGGACAAAGCCATCAATCTTCCCAAATCTCTAAAGACAAACTCAAATGAAAAGCAATAAACTGCTCCAAACGAGAGTAGAAAAGAAACGCTAATGAAACGCTTCTCTTGCTGCAGGTCTCATCTGCCACGTGTTTTGTCTTTCGTGTTTCGAAGAAAGCTGCGTCAAAGCTGCGTGCTCCAGAAAGCTGTCCCGGTCGTGACCACATCCTTTCCGTCCTCTCCAGCCAGAGAGTCCATCGTCATTCCATCTGTGGTTTCAAACTTTGTTCGCTGATTCAGGAGACGGGACGGGGGCTTGTTTTGGTTTAAACGTTTCCATATCCTTTGGTAAAATTTTTCAACAGCACTATTTGGCTCTGTTTGGCTGAAAGGACGGACTCGTCTGCGTAATAACTGTTCTGATATCTCAGAAAAAAACAATATATTGTTGACGTTTCAATCGGAAACATCTGATTTTTTCTTTAAGCGTCTCTTGGGGATTTTTACCAAGAATTCAACAAGAGCCTCTGTGGTCTTGTTGAAGGCAATCTGGAAACATTTTCAGCCACAATGAAATACAAGGAACTAAATGAGCTGTTTATGGATTTAGACTCTCACAGCAGAGAGGGAGCTTAAACAAAGAGGGAGGGAAAGAAAAGAAAACTTATCTTTGGTGGAAGTGGGAAGCAAAACTAGAGAGGCTACAGACTTAACAGGCCTTTCATTTAGGCCACCATCTACCTCCTCGCTGTGATTAATCACACTCAGCCTGGCATTAATCGCAGCGACAGAGACTTGGGCAGAGTAGAAGCATATATTAACAAACCTTTCAAACAGGCAACCCATTGTGCTACAAACAACATGGTAAAAAAAAAATCAGCTGGATTTTAAAGGCGACAGAGGCTGCTTCTGTTGGAATTAATCAGCGAAAAATAAAAAAAAACAATGTAAAGTATTATCAATATAGCCAAGCCCTTTAGGGTTTACATAAATACAATAAAACATTCAGTTTTTTAAGGAGGAATATATTAAGACACCCTCATATTTATCCCCACTTAAAACGGCTAAGAGATGTTAAAAGAATTTTAAGTAGATCTACTGATAGTTGTAATTATAGACTTTATTTGGAAAATATCTATAATCAATAAATATTTATTTATGTCATTTATCATTTATATCCACAGAGTAAAAATACTGTAACTGCAAAGTTTTGATAAATACACATGCTAGTTTCTGTAGCGCTAGCTCCGTCCAGCTAAAACGGCATTAAACTTTTTAGTTTGAACTGTAGTTCATGGAAATCACAAGAGAATGATGAGGAGAACCAAAGGCCTTGATGCTCAATTTTCTAATTTTTTTTGTGAAATCCGATTTTTTTGCGTTGCTGTTCGCATTTCCAAATATATGCGATTATGTGATTCCCTGTGTGAACTGCATTCATACAACCTAAGTGTCCTGCGCAGTAGAGGACGCAATGACGTCACAAGCAAGCAAGCTCCATGTTTACGGAAGTAAGCATGGATGTAGTGCTGGAGAACATCTAGCGATCTTTCCCAACCATAAAAACTCAATCTTTCCAAGATGATTAAACATAAATACTGCTCTCCGCCATTGTTGTTGTTCATCTTGCCACTTCTGCTCAGCAAGAAGCAGAAGAGTGACCACTGTATTAAAGGCATTCAGGTCGGATGGACGCGACCTGGCCGTTCAGACACAGGTCGCATTCGAAAAGATCAGATTTGTATCGGATTCAGGACCACATAGCCAAGCGGTCTGGGTCGCATTGAAAAAAATCGGATCTGTGTTTTTCAGACTGTCATGAAAAGATCAGATACAGGTCGCATATGGGCAAAAAAAATCGGATTTGGGTCACTGCAGGCCGCAGCGTGAACGTAGCCAAACAGAGGTCAAGGGGGGTGTTAGCCAAGGAACCTGGTGTTTGTGTAGCTAGGAGATGCTAACCCAGACGTACAGCTCCAGTCTCTAACTGAGGCTGTTTATGGTTAGCATCAGGATCGAAACATTTTCACCAATTATTAGAACAACGTGTTACAACAACCAGAGGTTGTCACTTTAAACAGTCTTTCAATATATATTTGCTTTTGATAATACGTTAGCTTCTGCTAATGGTGTTAGCTCTAGCTAATACAGGGTTTATACAGGAATGAATAACTCTAATTTAATGCTTTTTAATGCTTTTAGAAATAATTTTAATGCCACCAACAGGTACCCGTCGACAGACTGCAGTCATGCCCCGAATTCCTCGTTTTCCAACCACTTTTGGTGAAATTGTCATTCTTCCCCATTCTCTAGCTTTTTCTCCGATTCAAGCTTCTTTTCCGAACATACCTCTTTGCGATCAACCGGAAGCAGTTCCACGCAAATATATCGTGATATAATATGTCTGACGAAATTGTTTTTTTTACATTTTTTTTTTTTAAGAAAGCATTTTAAATGCCACAATAAACACATTTAATTAATTTTAATGCCAATTAAGGCCTTAATTTAAAAAATAACTATTAAATGACTTTGAATGATTTTTAATGACCAGCAGAAACCCTGTAATATAATAAATAGATCACAACCTGATTACGTTTATTTATATCTCTTGTATAACGGCTCATGGAACTTTAAGGAAAGAGAAAAGACAATTGTAGACATGCCCAGGCCTGGCAGTCCAAGCTAGGCCACACTCATAACAGATCACCAGATACTAAATGAAGTCTCCCAAAAATTAAAACCTTTAAATCCCACAGCTGAATATGAGGACAAACCAGTAAAGGCCGGCAGATGTCAATAAGGCAAGTTGTTCTCACCAAATTGGGGAATCATACATAAGGGAGAAAAAGGATTCATCTTGATCACAGAAACCTGGCATGGTCACTGGGGTGTGTATACTTTTTACATCCACTCTTAACCTGTATTTTCCCTGTTTGCTTTTTTCAAAAAGCCAAAATACAACATCCGATTGAAGCCAGATTACTTTTCCATACATTCCAGAAGTGGTTTCCTGTTTTGTTCCGCAACCTTTAAATTAATTTTCCATATTCCCCCAGACATTCCAAGACCCCCACCCCTGTCTAATAAAAGCTTTTGCTCCCCCTCTCGCCTCTGTTCTGATGTCGTCTGAGCAGGATGTGCTCAGTCTGCATGAACCAGTGGCTGAAAAGAGGGATGGATGTAGACGTTTGAATCAAAAACCACACATGTGGTGTAGCGGTAGTCTGCAAAGGGAAGTAGAGCGAGCTGTTCCAGAACCTTGTCCTGGCAGAAAGTGATGACTTCTATTTGGTTTTACCTGTTAGGAGACCAAAGAAGCGCTTGCAGCGCACGCTGTCCCTGACCAGGAGAGTATAGGCCACGCCTCCATCTGCAAACTTCATGTGGATGCTCTGGGAGCCCAGTCCCACCTCCAGGTAGCTGAGCTCCACGATTGGGTAGCTATCCTTCTTCTTTAGCCGATCAGCAAGTGAGCCTCTGTTGGATGAAAAACAAGTCACAATTTGATAGAAGCACTTTGTGTAACCTCTAAACTTTAAGGTGAGAAACCATGAACTAGAAAAGGTGGATTCTGATTCTGAGGGTGAATCTAGTGAAACATCAGAAGCAAAAAAAGATGAAGATAGAAGGGGGTGGGGGGGCATAGACTGAGATAAATGTGTTTTCAAGGTGTGACCCAGAAACCTGAGCAGGTCTAGAAAGAAGATCCTCCTCTGGCATAGAGGCTGGGAACCTTCTGCCCTACTACTGTCACCAAGTAAACTGAAAAATGATATGTCATTTTATAATCTGGCTTTTATCAGATAAAATCATATTTATCATATAAATTAAAGTTATTATTTCTCTGTGTGGGCTACTATACTGCATAAAACTTTGGACTGTTAAATCAAACCGGCTTGTTTATATGCAAGGGCAATAGTTAGACCGTTGAATAGAGCCTCAAACGCATCATAACCTGTATAGAGTTAATTTGGTTCCATTATTATGTAAAGAAAAGAAAATATTTTTAGTAAATGCAAATAAATAAATAAAAAATTATTCAAAAACTGAAGTTAAAGCTTAAAAAAAAGAAATGTTTAATAAAAAAAATTATTTTTAAGTTTAACGAATTGCATTAATTTCAAATTTTACTGATTTTTTTTCCTTTTACAGATCACACTCTGTTCACTTCAAGTCCCATATGCTCATCTCTGAAAACCCATTTTTGATCTTAAAGATTCATTTCAGGATTGAAATTTTTGTGAAATTTCCATTTAGAAACCATGGTCTCTGCTTTCAACAAAAAATTAACAATATTCCATTTACAACATAAATATAGAAGACTGAAACAAGATTAACTTTAAAATCTTCAACTTCATGGAAAATCTGCAGTTTTTGAGGCTAAATCTGGTCGGTCTGTCATTGTCTTGTAGCAGGACAGATGGATCCAGTATTCAAGGTGAGACAGCCAGTAGGAAAGTTCAAAACGTTTATTAGCACAAGAACAAACAGACAGAACTGAAGCGCGGGGCTCTGGAACTGCAACAGGGGCTGCAGTGGCGGGACGTAAGCCATCACTGATTCTGTAGAGAGAAACACAGGTAAGTGACCACGATCATCTGACAGAAGATGATTATCCGAGTGAGTCACTTACCTGGTTTAACAGTTCAGTCCATTCTCTGAGTGATAGCCAGGTTCCATCTGATGGATTGCCGAGCGGGATCCAGTGCAGAGTTATCCAGGGTGTCCCCGATCAGAGCAGCAACCACGGATCTCAGAACTGGACAGTTCTGAGATCCACAAGTCCTAAGCTCCATCAAGGGCTCAGATCCACACAGGAACAGAACAGAAACAGGGTTCCAGGAATCCAAAGAGCTTTTAGGCAGGTTCAGAGTCCATAGTCGGACGGGAGCAGACGCGCGCCCATACGGACAGCGAAGCAGCCAGGCAGGCTCAGTGGTTGAGGGAACAGAGACAAGGCGTTGTTCCAGGATTTATGCAGGACTTTAAACTGGTCTCATCCAAGGAGCAAGGCTTACGGGAATAAAACGGACCCTCCCCACGTTCCGAGCCAAATCCCTGAGGACTCAGTGGAGAAGGGCCAGAACAGGATCAGAAGACGAGACGAACATGAAACCTCTCAACCCACTGCCCGCCAGGAACCAGGACATAAACCTTAGAACTGACTAAAACTAACAGAACCAAACACAGAACACAAAACAATGATCTGGCCCCAATCGCTCGGGCTGAATTGAATATAAAGCAATGGATGAGATGAGTGATAAGTAGAGTTAGGTAAGTGAGTGAAATTAACAATTAAGGAGAGCTATCAGGCCAGATCATGACAGTAATAGCCTTAATATAACGCGGAAATAGTTGTTGAAAATTGGGCTGCCTTTGGTCGGTCAGACTTTGTCCCAATTTAGTCTAATAATAGATGTTGTTTTACTTTTCAGCCAAATGTAGATGTCATTTGGACGTAAATCATGTTGTCTTTTCTATGTCTTTTTCAACCAATGTTTGCTCGGTGTGGTGGTGCTTGACTCAGTTTTTTAATCGTATGGGGATTTGAACCCTTTTCTCTCTGATCCGTCACCCAGACCCCGTTTGCCTTCAGAGACCCTACCAGGGGCATTTTAGACCCTGACTACTTAAGTCTCTAGGATCATTCTGGAGTCTATGTTGTTTGGGATCATCCAGGCACTGAAACTCCACCACCATGTTGAGTTCATGGAGAGGTAGGACGGTTTCAAGTATCTTGCTATTCGGTTTTTATCTTTTCAGCCTCAAATCTTTGTTTTCCAGAGATGTTCATCTTCAGACTTTCTAAAAACATTTTTGAACAAACTTTATTGTATGTAAATATGTTTATTTCACAAAAAGACAAAAACAAATAATAGAAAATGAAAGAAAGTTTAATTTTAGGGCTTCTATGGAAATTTGGTCCATCTTCCTGCAATGATGTACAACACTGTCTTATTTCCCGAATTGTTCTTAAACTGGTAACATTTTCCTCCAGTAGGCCGTTAAGGGCCGCCGCCAGCGGCAAGATTTTCTTAACTGACCATAATATTGTATTTACTTTAGCAGTTTTCAACATTTATCACAACCACTGTCATTATTCCTTTATATCTAACCCACTTTCTTGTTTTCTAATAAGAAGGCACCAGATCCCTGCTGAGTGATGACGACAACACCGTGCTTTTCTCTGTGGAGCCTCTTGTTATGTGAAAAGGTCTCTTTTTGCATTTGTTTGAAATGAAAGCTGATTAAAATGAATGAAATGCTATACATAGGACGCTTCAGTTTCACAAATATTAGAAATAATTTCTAAAATGCATGAAATTCCAAATCGTATCCAACTGAAAAAAATGCATTCAAAGAATACAACCCTAAAGTTGGTTAATATTAGGATTGCTACTTTCTTTCTATTTATCCATTTATTTTCTGAAAAACTCAGGAAAAACTGAAATTTTGCTTTACTTACTGCACGTCTGACATCATTTCCAGAAAGTATAACCGCTGGTTCGAAACGACCAACAGCGAGGGAACCTCCCCTAATTCCCCAAATTTTACAGCTGACATCTGTGGATCCAAAGAAATTAAAGAGGAACATGATGTTACAGGATATTCGAAAAAGAAAATGCAATTAATGACAGCTGTTTACTTGGGTGAATATTGTTCTTCTGATAGCATCATAATAAGGCTCATTGAGCCATAATTTTGACACTAAACTCTTAACATCTGGATTTTCAGATGACTATAAATGACTGGGACATTTAAAAAAATAACCACATCTATTAATGTTTATCTGCAGCTTGCACAAGTGAGAAGAACACAGTGAAAAGTGGTGTTCCCATGGGCTCCTCCGCCGTGCTCACCGCCCGCTGGCTGATTTGTTTCTTCGTCTCGTTACCGTTTTAAAAGGCCGGACCCAACCACAGCTGATGTTTAGGAAATTGGCACCATGGTTTATAACCAAACCTTTGAGCCTTATGGGAGATAATTAATGGGACTTTTTAAAATTAGAACCGCCACGTTTCGGTTTAAAGTATCTGGAAGTAATTTGGTTTCTATGGCAAAGATTTAAAAATCCTTGAAACAACGACTAACAACTCTTCTTCTTCACTGGAGCTTTTTGAGTTCCTCCCATCTGTTTGCAGAGATATCCTCCCCATCTGTGCAACAAACCTTGAGGAAAGAGTGAAGCTCCTCTTCTTCTTCTTCAAAGACCTCCACGTCCAGGAAAAGCTTCAGCCGATGGTCCACGGACATGTTTTCTTCGGATAATAGATCCAAGTCATCTAGACACAACAGCAGAAAATGAACACCTGAAAAACTCCTTATAGAATTAAATGTCTGAGTGGTTTTGTGCAATAGAGACATAATCTGTTATCAATAAAGGTTTATTCAGCAAACAAACAGAAAAATAACTAAAACTGTAATTGAACACATTGGTTAAACCCTCAACAGTCTCTAAACACCAGTTTGTATCTGTATTTCAGACTTATCAGCTTTGTAGTTCCACCTTTAATGACTACAAACTGGTTAGCATTACCACGGACTGGATTGCTAATAAGAAAATCGAAAGTGCCACCTTTACAGAGACATAAAGCTTTTGCATCTACTCTAACTGCTTCAAATATGGCATCTAATTGAATTTCTTTTTTTAAGCATTTTTGGCATTTTTACAGAGGTTAAGGGGTTATTCAATTCAAAAAATAAACAAAATGTGAAAGAATTGGCGTTGGGAGAGGGTCAATTTATCTTTTATTCGTTTGGAACTGAAGTTTTTAAATGTGAAATATATTTAAAGGGGAAACTCTACCACCTCCGGGCCAGTAGGGGCCGCTAATTCTAGTGAACCTGGAAGCCAGTATTAGCATTAGCATTGGTTGCCGCGGGAACCAGCAGGCGAAACACACCATTTACTATACTGTTTACTAGCAGGTGAACAGCTAATGCTAACCTCGTAGTAGCATTAATGGCCAGGAAACCAGCTGGCAAACCCTATGGAAGAGATAACTTTTAGTTATAATTTGTAAACATTTAACTTAACAGTTTAAAGTGGCCTCTACATAACCTCTGAGCCCCTTTGTTTCCTTACATTGGCACCAATGTCTTTTTTAGCCTGAATCAAAGAAATGTTATGCCAAGTGACATTTCCAAGCTCTATTATGGAACTACTAGGATGACTCCTCACATGGCTTTAACCTACTATTTCCATTGGTGAAGAACTCTTTCATGTCTATGTTGGCATGGTAACCACAAGTAACAATTAATGTACAAATGTACAAAGCTATCATTTAAATCTGTCTTGTTTTGTTCACAGTTAATCTGCACCGCATCAGATGTTCTGTGGATGTATTAACTTTGAAAAATAAATAGCTTAAATAGAAGTTATGTGAGCTACAGTATGACCTTTAAGGTCGTAGTCGTAGTCCCGAGTGGTGCATGACTTTACATGAGTGAATAAAGTGAATGTGATTGGTCGATTATCAAGGGGGCGGGATTGTTGTGGCGGAAGGTTTGCAAGCAAGTTTGGTTGTGGCCGGTTTCTTGGAAGCATCTTGCTAACCAGTTAGCAACTTAGTGCTAGTAGGTTCCCAATGGGAAATTCCATTGGGACCAAGTAGCACTAAATTGGTGACCTAGAATCGACACTGTCAAGGAACGCTATGGACAGCGGAAACATGCAAGAGGAGGAGAGTTTTGTGTCGGAGGTTGTGGATAAGTGTTGTGATAAGTGATACATTTATAAGTGTACATTTTTTATTTAGAGGAGGCAAGTGTTGACAAAGATGTTGTGGAAGAGGACGCCAGGGCGGCAGAAGCTTGGTTTGGTGTAGAAGGCTTACAGCCGTACATGTTTGAGCCCTTGCCTCGCAACGCTGCCAGTTCTGTTAGCTCTACGCCTGCTGAAGACAAAGACGTCCATCCCCATGAACACTGGGATGGAATTCAATGATAACATAAGTTATTCTTATTTCTTATTTGCACCGTTGCGTATATTAGCTGCGAAATATGAATCAAGATGGTATGACCGAAAAAATTTTGATTGACAGATGACTGTTGATATATGATTGGCCGAATTTAGGTGTACTTGCTGATGTACAATTAACTGGCCTGCATAAAATAATGAGGAAAAAAAACTGAGTTTAAGACAGGAATTTTCTTTTTTTTAAATCAAAATTTTCTAAATTTTGGGACAATATGGTCTGATAAAGAATACATTTATAAACATGTTTAAGCAAGAATGATTTGACATTTAAATATGATTTCCTTGTGACTTTAAGTCTATATACACAAGGTTTATGTTTGTTATTTGCAGATTTTTCCAGTTTCCTCAAATTCAAGGACCATGAGCCATGCTCCCTAAAAGTTATCCTTTTCCAGGAGTATTGAAACTCAATAAAAAATTAACTGATTCGCCAACATAAAGATTATATGCACTGATGCATCTGTGTATGGAAGCCGAGAGCGGCGGCGTCGCTCCGATACTTTTACACGGTGGTTTTCTCGAGAAAACAACTTAAATTTCTCATTATCTAAAGATAACAAAAGCCATTTTCTCATAACAAGATGATTGGGGTGTGTTAAAACTTGAGTTGCTCCGATGCCACTTTTTGGCCCTGATACTGATAACCAATACCTTGCTGTGCGGTATCGGCCGATACCATACTGATACTTTCTGTTTGAAATTGATGAGTGTATGTATATATAAAGATATTCATACTACTTGGATATAAAATAATTGCCATCATGGCTTTGTCAAGCTGCTGCCTACCTTTGAGAAGCAGGAAAAAAAAGTGATAACGAGATAGTTATGTCGTTATCTGGAGAAGTCAAAGAAAAAAAGAAGTCGATTATCTGTGTATATAGCTAACTAAAGTTGAATTCTTTGGGGGGAAAAAAACACTAAAAATTATTGAAAAACAAAAATTCAAGAAGCTTTGAAGATGAGCGTCTTTTAATGGCCGTTTTTAAAAAAACCTTGTGAAATATACAAATTTTCAAGGATTTTAAAGACCACTGATTGTTATCAATGAAACAAAAATGTAAAAATCTAAAGCACAACTCGGAATCAACTACTGTACAGGAGTCAACCGTCAAATATCAGGGGCGCTGGGCACCAATCATATTTGGGAGGGCCCCCCCTTTAGCTTCAAACCATTCAATTGGGTGTACTATCGGGTTAGGCTGTATGCATGTCAGCTTTAATACTGGCTGATTAAATATACATCAGATCTCAGCCTTTTTCATTGAGTCCAAACATTATAAAAACTCAAAGTTGCTCTTATTTCTAGATAGAAAGAATAAATAAAACTCTTGGAGGGATTTCCATATACTATTCGTCAAACTTTATCTGCTTACACAGCTTTTGTGATATGACGCAACATATTTCCCTAATTTCTAGGGCTTACTAGCTACATAATCAGTTTTATTTAATCCACTAACTTTTTGCCCTGCAATAATGAATGAGTATTAAAAGTAATAATACACATATATATTTTATTCACATAGAAAATTCCTATCAAAATATAGAGAAATCCCAAAATGTTGCATTTAACTGAAGGTTAAAGGCAAAAAGTCTACTGCAGCTAAGCCAAAAATATACTGGGAGACTAATGAATGAGCAGATTTTTGCCCTCAATCCCTCAAATGATATATTCCACTAATAGTTGAGGCTTAGATTTCTGGCTACATTGTGGAACCACTTGCATATCTCATGGCCGACTTTTTTATTTTGTGAAACCGTAGCCAGATTTTACTGCAGCAGCCCACAGCAATATCCAAAAACCGCAGAGCGGAGAGGCATTTAAGAGCAATAAATCCGCAACAGAAGTTAGCTGTAGGGTGATGGATGATTACAGCTGATCAGAAATGACAGCGCAACGACCCACAGGGGCCAAAATAAGCCAAGAGGCTTTGATTTAAAGAGCACCAAAAGATCAAGATCTAAAAAGGCCTTTGAACCTGGAGAAAAAAATTCCTCTAAAGGTGAAGGAACAAACCTGCACGCACAGAGGCCGTCTTTGGAGATAAAGTGCATCAAAAAGAAGAAATGAGGCCTTTTAAGTCACAAAAACCACTTCATTCGGGGTTTCAGGACGTGCCGTCTCCATTGTGACTCTGCGGTTTCACAGGGACAGATTATACAGTACTGACTCTGCAACTACAGCACTACAAATTAAAAACAACAAAAAATAAGATAAAGAAAGCTATCATTAGGACTCTCAGGCTTTCATCCCTCCCCCATCACTTTCAGTAATGACTCCAATCTGTCTTGTTGCAAATTTACCATGTGGTTCCTCCCAGAAATGGCAGACAGATGTTGGGGAGACCAAAGAAACACAGAGGAACCCTCCAAGGAGTCCTCTGAAAAGTCAAAGAGATTTAAATCCTTCGTTTTTGATTTTCGAAGAGGAAGAGGCTGACTAATGGTTGGAATCAGGATGATGCTGGTATCAAACAAGCGTTCGGGGGTTTCCTCCAATAAAACCAATGCCTCAATCTCCAATTACCTGCTTTGTTTGTTGCTTCAACGTTCCACAACATGGGATTTTTTTTTTTTAAACCGTTTCTTTTTACTAGTCAAGGCTGTTTTAATGTGGCCGATGCTAAGTTGCCTTTTCCCACCATGTTTTATGAAGCTACATGAGAGAGACTGCTTCAGGAGATTGAGACTTTGGCTTTATCTAATATTATTTACAAGCTTTGATTTGAGCAAAGCTTCTTTTATGAGGATTATCTAAGTTTACAACCAAGTTAAGCTAGCGGCAATATAGCTTTGCTTTTGTTAAACGTTTTTTTCTGGTATCAATGTCTGATACTTAATGGACATACTAAGAAATCCTGCACAAAGACAGAATAGTTGATTTTGTTTAGAAATAATCAGCATTTCTGGGGAGTGTAATATAGTTTATTTTCATGCATTATGTGCTATTATATCTGGTAATTAGATGCATATTGAATCTGAACGGCTACTAATGATGCAAATGTGGGGGAGCTGTGGATATTGTTTAATTGATCTCTGTATTCACCCTCATACTAATCTTCCTCTCGGTTATACCTGGTTCTGTTACATATTACATTTGAATACTATTGGGTGTTTCTGTTATTAAAACCTCTTAAAGGAATAGTACACCCAAAACATGATTAGCCTTCATTTTCTACTCACCCCATGCTGAACAACACTCTGGAGTACTTTTTTGATATCTCGAAAGTGCGCATTTAGCGTCTGCTCTGCCGATAATGCAAGCGTAGAAGAAGAAATGTGCTGTTTTCCCTCGGCAAAGAAAGAAACAACGAAAGAAAAATGTCTGAGGACTTCAGTGTTGAGGAAGAGCATGAGTTCTTTGCCGAGCTGAATGCGCACTTTCATCTGGTTTGGTCTGCCGCGGTTTCCGTAGACTCGTGAACGCGCTTTTAGGAAGTCCTATACACTACTGTTTATGCTTTAAAAACATTCTAAATGACTTCGTTTCGAGTAAATTATGGACGCTACCCACTCAGGACACTTGGAATACATTGGACGAGCAGTATGGAGGAATATTGACACGTTTTTTGTGGACTTTTATGGACCTTTCTGCCTCGGGCACCATAGACCTCCATTATTTGAATGTCAGCAGACAGCAAGAAGCCTCCCAGATCTCCAGATGCATTTGAGATATCAAAAAAGTACTCCAGAGTGTTGTTCAGCATGGGGGTGAGTAGAAAATGAAGGCTAATCATGTTTTGGGTGTACTATTCCTTTAACATCCTCCTAATTTTGGGTACCGTAATTTTCGGACTATTAGCCACACCTGCATATAAGCCCAGAAGCTAAATTGCATGATTTGTACCTATACAAGCCACACCGAACTATAAGCCGCATGTTTTTTATGTTTAACACAAACTGTCTTGCGCTCGCAATGTCCGTCTGTCTGTCTCATACCACTCGCGGTAGAAGTCTGCTTCCGGGCGACCTCCGAATTCCCGCGCGCGCGGCTACCGTACTTGTGTGTTGAAGCAAATGTGACGTCAACATGGTGGATGGTAAAATCCATAGATTTAGGTATTACGCTAGTGGCCGTTAGCTGTAAAGGTCCATAGATAAGCTGCATTGTTATATAACAATGCAGGTTGAAAAATGGGGAAAAAAGTCGCGGCTTATAGTCCGAAAATTACGGTAATCCTCGCCTATTTTGCATACCCAAATGGAAAAGCAAATAAGATAGGAACATTATCTGAAATCTAATACCCTTTAGTTTCTGAATATATAAATTAAAATCGGGTGAGTAGAACACATCCCAAGCTGCATCAGTTCAAACATGACTCAAAGTTGTTCTTTTTATTCTCAGAAATTATAGGTATTGTTTGAACAGCAGTAATGAAGACATTCTTGAGAAAAGTCAGATCTCATTGTATTAAAGGAGAAGTTCACTTTTTAACACTTTAAGCCCATTTTCTGTAGTGTCCAGGATGAAATCGAATGATCGACACCAAAATTTTGACAATTGGTCCTGTCTCTGCTTTTTGGCTCATGCAGAATCACCCCTTGGCTGCTTCAGAATGGCTTCCATTGTGCATGTCCGATAATGTCCTTAAAACAACCTTAAACGTTCTTTTTTTAAAATATGCTACTCACCGGGTCGTCAGCGCTGTTCAAAGACGTTCCAAAAATAGTTTCGTAAAGAAAAAACGTTCCTGTAGTGTTTTATTTAGCATTTTGTAAATCCCATTGAGTTCTGTTGGAATAGTCAATATTCCCCTGCCACCGGAAACGGAAATTGGGCCTGTTTACACAGTTGTAGTCTTTTCGCTTCACTCTTTCAGAGTTTTTTTAAGTGTTTAACAGAGACGTTAGCACCTCGACGTCGGAGTACACAGAGTGAAGCGAAAAGACTACAACTGTGTAAACAGGCTCCATTTCCGTTTCCGGTGGCAGGGGAATATTGACTATTCCAACAGAACTCAATGGGATTTACAAAATGCTAAATAAAACACTACAGGAACGTTCTTTCTTTACGAAACTTTTTTTGGAACGTCATTGAACAGCGCTGACGACCCGGTGAGTCGCATATTTAAAAAAAAGAATGTTTAAGGTTGTTTTAAGGACATTATCGGACATGCTCTATGGAAGCCATTCTGAAGCAGCCAGGGGTGGATTCTAAATGAGCCAAAAAGCAGAGACAGGAGCAATTGTCAAAATTTTGGTGTCGATCATTCGATTTCATCCTGGACACTAGAGAAAATGGGCTTAAAGTGTTAAAAAGTGAACTTCTCCTTTAAATATGTTCTACATCATGTGAACTACAAAAGCAGCCATTTTCAAATTTCTAGCTATAACAGTTCCAGAGCTGTGGGGCTTTGAACACAGCTCTGGAGTTTGGACCTGATGGGCTTTGAGAGGTTCAAATGTGAAAGTGGTGATATTTACCCTTTGACACCTATCATTGCAACAAATATGAAACAAGGCCTTTGTATTACCAAGATAGCATGTGCATTCCCTCAGAGCCAGTTACAGACAGGCAGGGAGATGCTTTTTTAACCCCCGGAACTTCTGGGAGACTTGAGGTGCAGTTATTACACATTTAGTGAACAGGAACCTTTGGCAAGCTCTTGTTTCTGTTAAAACCGGTCCCTAACAGCATATGTTATTATATATACATTTACATATAAATTCAGGCTCCGTGGGGTTAAGAAGTAGATTAAGTTGGGGGATCCCCACTAAAGGTGGTTTATAAAAAAACAAAAACCAAATGAACTAAAGAAATATGAGGACTATTTTAAACAGCTGAACATCTTGGATTTGTAAACCCAATAGAAAAATAATGGCTGTAAAGAAATTAGTTTTTTAGCAGCTTAAGAAAGGAAAAAATATATTGAATCTGTTTAAAGCAGCAATGTGTAACTTTTAGCAACTAAGGGTGCTAGAGCTGTAACTTCCAGTTTTAGTTCCACTGGTAGCACTGCACTGTTGCAATATCAAACACTTTCCCTCAGCGTTTTGGGATCTGATACCTTACAACTTTGGCCCATCAGCTTCAGGCGCTATGGGACACAACAAAAGGGAGTATGTAACTAAAATTATATTTAATCCTGTTTCTCACATTTAAAGTCTAAAGCTACAAAGCTCCATCTAATATCAGAGGTATGACCTTTCCTTATGTCCCTAGCAGAGCACTTCGCTCTCCTTCTGCAGGTTTACTAGTGGTTCCTAGAATGTCTAAAAGTACAATGAGAGGCAGAGCTTTTAGTTATCAGGCTTTTGAACCAACAACCAGTTTTAGCGCATGAGGCAGACACCCTGTCTACTTTTAAGGCTAGGCTTAAAACTTTCCTTTTTGATAAAGCTTATAGTTAGAGTGGCTCAGGTTATCCTGAGCTATCTCTATAGTTATGCTGCTATAGGCTTAGACTGCTGGAGGACAAAGGGACCCCTATTTCTGTCTGTTTCATTCCTTCTCTATTCTTCAATTCTGCATTATTTGTTCATTCAACGCTAACGTTCTGTTATCTCGTGATAGTGTCTTCATTTGTTCTTGTTATGTTTGGCTGTGACACCATCCTGGAGAGACATATCAGCTGTGCTGCTGCTATCAGGAACTTACACAACTTTTGTTACTTTTTCCTTTGTGTACTTCTTATTAGTTTCATAGTACTCATGATTAGTGTTGCGCCGATGCCATTTTTTGGCCCCGATACCCGATACCTGGCTGTGCAGTATCGGCCGATACCGATACCATAATAATGTAAAATAATTGCCATCATGGCTTTGTCACGCTGCTGCCTACCTTTGTGAAGCAGGAAAAAATCTAATACAATGTGAGTCCAGTAGAACTTTTTACTGCCTACCAGGAGTGGGTGACAATAGTTGAATAAACTTATGGCTCAAAATGGTATCGGTGCCCTGTTTGTTGGTACTCGCCGATACCGATACCACCATTTTAGGGCAGTATCGGGGCCCCGATACTGCCCTACTTTTGCTGTGCGTCTTTGATGGTGTAAAATGTTATTGAATCACTTCATCTCAGGAAAAAATATTGAAACATGCAAGTAAGACAGGATTCCTCATGTTTACAGAGATTTAAGGCATACATTTGGGCTCACCCTTAGGGATGGATGGCTCCGTGGGCTCAGCTGAGGTTGGTGTATCTCCCAGGATGGAGTAGTGGTAGCTTCCAGCCAGGTCTTCTTTACTCTGGTGCTCAGTGTTGTAGGAGAGGCTGCTGGTGTCGTCAGGACCATCGCCAATAAAGAAGGAGGTTCCCTGGGCTGTGGCAAAGCTCGGCTCCATTGAAGTGATGGCAGTCTCCAGAAAGAGACTACAGCTTGACAGTTCCTTTGTATCATCAAGCTGTTGTAAAGGGGTGTAAAGAAAGTAAAAAAGAAAAACATTGATTAGATCAGGCAGTAGACTAACACAAACAAAAACTTGCATTTGGGAGAAGGACCTTATCTCCACTGTATGTAGAACCTAGATGATCTTTGCTTTCAGGCCTTGGCGACTGACTGATGGGAGTACTGCTAAGAGGAGCCGTGAGCTCGGCAACTTGAACCACATGGTCACTGCCACATTCTGGACAAACACAAGTTTTTCCTAAAAAAAAAGAAAACCAAAGAAGGCAGAGTGAATGATGGAAACATCTAAAAATGGAACATAATGCCTCACAGGGTTTCTTTCTTTGGCCAAAAGCATCTATATTAGGAAACAATGAAACAACAATCAGCGTTCCAAGTTCTCTGAGAACTGGTGCTCCATTTAGAGGTGACATCACTCCCAACCAAATCTCAACCCAATTAAAACACCAAGAGTATGTTTCTGTAAGGAAGGTTAGAAAAATTTAAGGGTACTTTAAAATCGAACACAGTGCTATATTTACGGTAGAAAGTAGGCCATACTCAGTACAGTGCTTCAGTGTTCTGCAGCGTCTCTTTCCTATACTGAGTCATTCACTGTGGCTAGCACTAACTGTGAGATCTTTGGTTTCCATTTTTTAGAAGGTACTTATGGTCTAATGCATATGTTTATAACTGTTTCTTTTATGAAGAAAAACCAATAAATGGAGGGTATTTATTTTTCTCTGTTTAGCTATGTCTCTTTTCTTGACAGCTGTGCTGGCATCCATTTGCACTGTTTCTGCTCATTCTTAACTAAAGGTAGTTGGTACTCTTTCTTGAATAGTCATTGCGATAGGTTTTGATGCTAGGAATTGTTCTAAAATATGCTATTTCTATTTCTTTTAGAAAGTACTCATTGCTCACTGTTTCAGTGTTTTTCCAGTTGTATTTCTTTCCTGGGTGGAGTCATTGAAAGTGCTACTACTTTTAAATTGAACTAAACAGTTTTTTCCACTATCCCAAGGTACGTTTAACTCATTTTTTTTTGTTTAGTTGTGTCTCTATGTAAGATGGAGCAACAAGCTGAGCAACCAAAACCCTTTCACTCATGAACATCGTACTGCCATGGTGAAGAGGGACCTGAGTCAGCGGGCATAACTCTCAATTTACCGATCAATCTACTGTACGTTCCCACCCTCACCTATGGTCATGAGATCTGGGTAATAACCAAGAGGACAAGACTGCGAATACAAGCGGCCGAAATGAGTTTCCTTCCCTGGCTGGCATTATCTGTTGGGAGGAGGCCTTGTGGAAGGCCCAGGACACACTAGAGGGGATATGTCTCTGAACTGTCCTGGTGTCGCCTCGAGGTCCCCCCAGAGCAGCTGGAGGAGGTGTGTGTTGATCGGGAAGTCTGGGCATCTCTGCGTAGACTCCTGCCTCTGAGACCCGGCACCGGATAATGCGGAAGAAAATAGATGGATGGCACTTAAGGCTAACTACGTTTTGTGTTCAGATGTGTCTTTATCATAGATTAAGTAAATTACAGGGGCATCATGTCTTTTTTTTTAAATGTATTTGTTGTTTGTTTTTTAATTTAACATAGAAAGTACTCACTATATTTTGTGTTTAGTTATGTCTATTACTTCTATTTACAGATTCATTGTTACATTTTTACGGAAGAGGATTAGGGCCACTGAAAAAAAAAAAGTTAACTGATTATTTTTGAATTGAAATTATGGGAAAAAAGTCAGAATTCTGACTTTTTTCCCATAATTTAAATTTAAAAATCAGTTAACTTTTTCTTTTTTTCTTTTTTCCACTGGCCCTAATCCTCTTCCGTACATTTTTTCTTTTGGACTTCATGATTTTTTTTTTTCCTTTATAGAAAGTACTTGCGGCCTACTTTTTTCCTCAGAGTTCTGACTTTAATTTAAGAATTCTGACTTTTTTTATTGTCAGAATTCAGTCAGACTTCAAAGTCAGAATTCTGACTTTTTTCCTCAGAATTCTGACTTTAATTTAAGAATTCAGACTTTTTTACTGTCAGAATTCAGTCAGACTTCTGAGATTAAAGTCAGAATTCTGACATTTAAAGTCAGAATTCAGACTTTTTTTCCATACTAAACTGAAATAAAATTTAAAAATCAGTTAACTTTATTTTTTCCACTGGCCCTAATGCTCTTCCGTACATTTTTCCTTTTGGACTTCATGTGTTTATAGAAAGTACTTGCGGCCTACTTTTTTCTGAGAATTCTGACTTTAATTTAAGAATTCTGACTTTCTTTTTCGTCAGAATTCAGTCAGAATTCAGAGATTAAAGTCAGATTCTGAGACAAAAGTCAGAATTCTGAGATTAAAGTCTGACTTTTTTCCCATACTAAACTGAAATATATGTATTTTTTTTCTCCACTGGCCCTAATCATCTTCCGTTCATTTTTCCTTTCTGGATGTTTTTTTCTTCATAGAAAGTACTTGCGACCTATTGTTTGTTGAGACACGTACATTGCTAACATTACATTTTCTCCTTTGTTTCTTTCTTGTAGAAAGTGCTCTAAATCCTGCGATTAGCTGCTTTGTTTGTTTTTTTTTGTTAAATAATGTCAATGAGTAAAGCTATGGCCACCTTCAAATATGTGTATTATGTTATGTTTTGTTTCATAGAACTGGAAAGCATCTTCACCTTAAGGTGAAAATACGTTCCTAGCAGCAGGCATGTTCAGGTCAGATTTGTGGGAATAAAAGAGCTATTTGTCAGCGGTTTTTCAGGGTGCCAAGGTTAAACGCACCAACAAAGGACCAAGGTGTAGAGAAATCCTCCTAACTTGTCGAACACAGCCTGCACACACGATCTGTGCATGCCCAGGCGTGCCTCACAGCAGGGTTCGGTCAAACCACAGCTGCTGGAGCTCAAGGGATTTATCAGTCTCTGACTGATTACAGAGGTGGGAACGCGGCTGCAAGAGGCAGCCTGAGAAAATGAGAAAGCGATAAGGTCTTGGATGCTTCGCTCAGAGGCGTCAAACATTATTTTTGTTTTGGGTAACTATTTAACCTCAGGCAGATCAGTAATAGACGGCTGACAGATGTTCTGCTGCTTGCCGGGTGTGTGTCCTTGTCTACAGTGTTATCTCTTAGCTGTAACCACAAAGCCTGCAGTCAGGGTTTTGAACAAAACATTAAGCGGGATAGAAAACGTCTCAGATTCCAACATAACCTCCAGCAATTACAACTTTATTGGAAAAGAAAAGAAAATTTCTCGTATTGTAACATCTTTAGCAATCACTTTTTACAAGACCAATGAATAACTGTTTGGATCTTCTCAGTGGGAACATGATAAATCGAAAGTCGGAAATAAAGGAACGTGTTTGGTGAAGCGAATCAGGGAGATTTCTCTAATCGTTAAGTATAAAGGCGTAAATGATTGACATGAGCATCTCACCTGTGCCGCCATGATTGGAGGAATCTGCCTCTGTTTGCTCCTCCCAGTACTGTCCTTCAGCAGCACCCCCTCTACTCCTGCCTCTTCCTCCTCCTGTGTACTCTTCCTCATCCGTCGCCATATTTGAGGTGAACTCTGACCTGCAGCGAAGGCACTGGAGACGAACGCAGTCGGGGATGAGTTCAGAATGGCGCCGCTGGTTCTCCTCCACCACGACAGATAAGATGTCATTTAAAACCTGCAAAGGAAACAACAGGCCTCATCATTGATGACTGTAGGATGGTCTGCCTGCACACTATGACCTGGTCCTTTGGTTTAATACCCATAGTTTTAGGTTTTATGTTATATTAAGGTTGTATGTAAGTTTTGGTCATTAAGGGAATGTCTGTATGAAAAAGAGGGAGATAAGATGGTGGAGGTGATTCTGATGGAGGCTCAGGAAACTCTTGTCAAGAAGGACTGTTCCAGGCAGAAGGATTTTAAAGTCATGTGTTAACCTGAGCTGCCTGCTGAGGGTCATCATCAAGAAGGACGAAGCGTCTACAACGTTTTTCCTTAACGATGTAGTTGAAATGGAGCTCCAAGGCCGGAAATAGAACCTCAGCATCCTGAAGAATAAAAGCACATTTGATCAGTGATTCTGATCGAAACCAAAAAAGAAAAAGCAATTTTATAAGTAAGTAAATAAGTAAGTACAAAAGGAAGGAAGGAAGGAAGGAAGGAAGGAAGGAAGGAAGGAAGGAAGGAAGGAAGGAAGGAAGGAAGGAAGGAAGGAAGGAAGGAAGGAAGGAAGGAAGGAAGGAATCTAAATACAAAAGTAGGAAGGAAGGAAACTAAATAGGAAGGTAGGAAGCAAGGAAGGAAGCAAGGAAGAAAGGAAGGACAGAAGGAAGGAGCAAGCAAGGAAGGAAGGAGCTAAGGTAGGAAGGAAGGAGTGAAGGAAGGAAGGAGTAAGCAAGGAAGTAAGAAAAGAAGGAAGGAAGGAAGAAACAAGGAAAGAAGGAAGGAAGGAAGGAAGGAAGGAATCTAAATACAAAAGTAGGAAGCAAGAGAGGTATGAAGGAAACTAAATAGGAAAGTAGGAAGGAAGGAAGGAAGGAAGGAAGGAAGGAAGGAAGGAAGGAAGGAAGGAAGGAAGGAAGGAAGGAAGGAAGGAAGGAAGGAAGGAAGGAAGGAAGGAAGGAAGAAACAAGGAAAGAAGGAAGGAAGGAAGGAAGGAAGGAAGGAAGGAATCTAAATACAAAAGTAGGAAGCAAGAGAGGTATGAAGGAAACTAAATAGGAAAGTAGGAAGGAAGCTAGGAAGGAAGGAAGCAAGGGAGGAAGGAAGGAGCGAAGGTAGGAAGGAAGGAGTGAAGGAAGGAAGAAGCAAGCAATGAAGTAAGAAAGGAAGGAAGAAGCAAAGAAGGAAGGAAGGAAGGAAGAAGCAAGGAAAGAGGGAAGGAATCTAAATACAAAAGTAGGAAGCAAGAGAGGAAGGAAGGAAACTAAATAGGAAAGTAGGAAGGAAGCTAGGAAGGAAGCTAGGAAGCAAGGGAGGAAGCAAGGAAGGAAGGAGCGAAGGTAGGAAGGAAGGAGTGAAGGAAGGAAGAAGCAAGCAATGAAGTAAGAAAGGAAGGAAGAAGCAAAGAAGGAAGGAAGGAAGAAGCAAGGAAAGAAGGAAGGAAGGAAGGAGGAAGGAATCTAAATACAAAAGTAGGAAGGAAGGAAGGAAGGAAGGAAGGAGCTAAGGTAGGAAGGAAGGAGTGAAGGAAGGAAGGAGCAAGCAACGAAGTAAGAAAAGAAGGAAGGAAGGAAGAAACAAGGAAAGAAGGAAGGAAGGAAGGAAGGAATCTAAATACAAAAGTAGGAAGCAAGAGAGGTATGAAGGAAACTAAATAGGAAAGTAGGAAGCAAGAGAGGTATGAAGGAAACTAAATAGGAAAGTAGGAAGGAAGGAAGGAAGGAAGGAAGGAAGGAAGGAAGGAAGGAAGGAAGGAAGGAAGGAAGGAAGGAAGGAAGGAAGGAAGGAAGGAAGGAGTGAAGGAAGGAAGGAGCAAGCAAGGAAGTAAGAAAAGAAGGAAGGAAGGAAGAAACAAGGAAAGAAGGAAGGAAGGAAGGAAGGAAGGAAGGAAGGAAGGAATCTAAATACAAAAGTAGGAAGCAAGAGAGGTATGAAGGAAACTAAATAGGAAAGTAGGAAGGAAGCTAGGAAGGAAGGAAGCAAGGGAGGAAGGAAGGAGCGAAGGTAGGAAGGAAGGAGTGAAGGAAGGAAGAAGCAAGCAATGAAGTAAGAAAGGAAGGAAGAAGCAAAGAAGGAAGGAAGGAAGGAAGAAGCAAGGAAAGAGGGAAGGAATCTAAATACAAAAGTAGGAAGTAAGAGAGGAAGGAAGGAAACTAAATAGGAAAGTAGGAAGGAAGCTAGGAAGGAAGCTAGGAAGCAAGGGAGGAAGCAAGGAAGGAAGGAGCGAAGGTAGGAAGGAAGGAGTGAAGGAAGGAAGAAGCAAGCAATGAAGTAAGAAAGGAAGGAAGAAGCAAAGAAGGAAGGAAGGAAGAAGCAAGGAAAGAAGGAAGGAAGGAAGGAGGAAGGAATCTAAATACAAAAGTAGGAAGGAAGGAAGGAAGGAAGGAAGGAAGGAAGGAGCTAAGGTAGGAAGGAAGGAGTGAAGGAAGGAAGGAGCAAGCAAGGAAGTAAGAAAAGAAGGAAGGAAGGAAGAAACAAGGAAAGAAGGAAGGAAGGAAGGAAGGAATCTAAATACAAAAGTAGGAAGCAAGAGAGGTATGAAGGAAACTAAATAGGAAAGTAGGAAGGAAGCTAGGAAGGAAGGAAGCAAGGGAGGAAGGAAGGAGCGAAGGTAGGAAGGAAGGAGTGAAGGAAGGAAGAAGCAAGCAATGAAGTAAGAAAGGAAGGAAGAAGCAAAGAAGGAAGGAAGGAAGGAAGAAGCAAGGAAAGAGGGAAGGAAGGAAGGAATCTAAATACAAAAGTAGGAAGCAAGAGAGGAAGGAAGGAAACTAAATAGGAAAGTAGGAAGGAAGCTAGGAAGGAAGCTAGGAAGCAAGGGAGGAAGCAAGGAAGGAAGGAGCGAAGGTAGGAAGGAAGGAGTGAAGGAAGGAAGAAGCAAGCAATGAAGTAAGAAAGGAAGGAAGAAGCAAAGAAGGAAGGAAGGAAGAAGCAAGGAAAGAAGGAAGGAAGGAAGGAGGAAGGAATCTAAATACAAAAGTAGGAAGGAAGGAAGGAGGAAGGAATCTAAATACAAAAGTAGGAAGGAAGGAAGGAAGGAAGGAAGGAAGGAAGGAAGGAAGGAAGGAAGGAAGGAAGGAAGGAAGGAAGGAAGGAAGGAAGGAAGGAAGGAAGGAAGGAAGGAATCTAAATACAAAAGTAGGAAGCAAGAGAGGAAGTAAGGAAACTAAATAGGAAAGTAGGAAGCAAGGAAGGAAAGAAGGAATGAAGCAGGGAAGGAAGGAAGGACTCCCATCAGGATCTTCTCCCTCTCTACTCACCTCTCTGCTCCACACAGCCTCCATGGTCTCCACCCTGACCAGGCTGTCCAGCTCCAGCCGCCCTCTCTCCAT